GCTATTTAGAGAGGGAAATCATGAGAACACAGGTTTAGAAGATGGCTGGGCAGCAGAAGGTGTCAGGACCAGGCTTTATATAGGCCAGAAATGTCTAGGGTCAAACCTGTTGAAATTTCTGGCCAAAAAAACCTTCAGAGAAGACCTAGTAGAATACCAAGATGCTTTAATGAAATAAAGCACCGTATTAGTCAGTTGCTGTCTAATCATGGTCTAATAGCCATTCATCTTAGGAGCTGTAAAACTGCAGGACTACTGAAAAGGCAGCATTTAAGTTCACTGTGCATTTGTGAGGAACTCCACCTCTTTTGAAAGGGCTTATTTAACTACTGTTAGGTTAAAAGTTGTATTCGTCTACCTTTCAAGTCTTACTTTTAATGTATAGTACATAGTTATTGAACACTTCCATGCAAAATGAACAGTTCAGATAACCAAACTCTTAGAAATATAAAATAGTTTGTTTTGGAAGGAAAAATGAAAGGTTATCTAAGAAGGGACACTTTCCCCTAGAACAGGTTATTCAAAGCCTCATCCAGACTGTCCTTGAAGTTGTCTAGGGATAGGGCATCCACAGTTTCTCTGGGAGACCTGTTCTGGTGTCTCACCATACTCACAGTAAAGCATTGCTTTCTTATAACTGATCTAAATTATCCCTCTTCCAGTTTAAAGCCATTCCCCCGTGTCCTATCACTATATGCCTTTGTAAAATGTCACTTTCCAGCTCTCTTTTAGGCTCCTTTTAGGTACTGGAAGCTGTTGTAAGATCTCTCCAGAACCTTCTGGAGGCAGAACAAATGCAGTTCTTTTAGCTCATCCTCACAGGAGAGGTGCTGTGGAATTGCTCCCCTGCTGGCTACACTGCTTTAGATTCAGCACATGACATGTTTGGCTTTCTGGGCTATGAGTGACCATGGCTGGGTCATGTCCAACCCTTTCATCCAGCAGAGCCCCCACATCCTCTTCAGCAGGGCTGTACTTACCCCATTCTCTGCCCACCTTGTCTTTATCCTTGGTATTGCCCCAACCCAGGTGTGGACCTTGCACTTGGCCTTATTGAACTTCATGAGGTCGTCACAGATGTATGCACCTTTCAAGCTGTCCCAGTCCCTCTGGATGGCATCCCTTCCCCCAAGTGTATCTATGGTGCCATGCAGTTCAGTGTTGTCAGCAAACTTGCCAAGGTGCCCTTGATCCCATTGTCCATGTTGGCGGCAGAGTGAAACAGGGCCAGTCCCAATAGTGACCCCATGTGAATACTATTTGCTGCTTGTCCTTGGTGTCCACTTGGGCAGTGAGACATTGACTGCAACTCTTTAAGTGTGAACATCCAGCCAATTCCTCAGCCACCACTGAATCCTTATTTCTCCAGCTGACAGACAAGAATGTTGTGTAGGACAGTATCAAATGCTCTGCTTAGCTGCGGGTAGATGACATCAGTAATTCTTTACTCATCCACCAACACTTCAACCCTATTGTAGAAGACACCAAATTTGTCTGGCATAATTTGCCCTTAGTGAAACCATGCTGGCTGTTGTCATCTCGGTTTTCCTTGTGTCTTACTGTAATTGGAGGATCTGCTTCATGATCTCATGCTCAGAGATGAGACTGACGAGCCTATAGTTCCCCTACTGTAATTATTTCCCTTTTTGAAAATGGAGGTTATGTTTCCCCTTCTCCACTTAGGGGGAACGTCATCAGACTGCCACAGCTTCTCAAATATCGTGGATAGTGGTTTAGCCATTTCCTCTGCCAGTTCCCTCAGGAACACCCGTGGATGTATCTGACTAGGTCTTATGGACTTCTGCACCTTAAGGTTCCTTCAGTGGTTTTGAGCTGGATGCATTTGCACAGTAAGTGGTTCTTCATTGTCCCAGTCCCTTCTTTGTCTTCTATGACTTGGGCAGTGTGGCTGGAGCACTTGCTGGTGAAGACTGAGAAAAGAAAAGTTTCAGTATCCCTCAGAGTTTTCTATATCCTTGATAATCAGGTCATCTTCCTGTTCGAGAGAGGGTTCACATTTTCCCTAACCTTTTCTTTCACCAGCTTTCTATGTAGATGCTTTTCTTGTTTGCCTTGACATCCCTGGTTAGATTTAATTCTTTAGCTTTCAGAGAAGGTTCTATCCTGCTTCAAGGAATGTTGCTGTTACCTTTAAAAACAAAACATTAAAAATGGATAAGCATCACCTCTGTTCCATCTACTTTACATGACCTCTTTTCTGTCTGGATAGTGTCTATTTGTTCTGAATATTGAGCGGCAGAGGATTTTCTTCAGGCTTTTGTGTGCATTGTTTATAGTTTATAGAAAACACGAAACCACTTGGATAACATACAACTAGTTTATTTGTGGTTCTTCTCTGATAAGTATTTTGAATTAGCCTGTGTATTTTTGAAGCTAAAAAAAAGTCATCTTTTAAAACAAAATTGTAAATGCAGAAGCACTGTGACCATAGCTATGATTTCCTGCTTACTTATTTCAACTTGAAACTTCCTTGGTCTTTTGGTGATAGGTGCCTGTGAAGTCTGTCTGCTTTTCTTCCCTAAATATTGAATCAGTCTGTTCATTACATGTTTTTTAATAGTAAATTACTTCATTTATGCTTTCTAGTGCGCACTTGGATGTCCCATCTGTGTCTTGAGCAGTCTGATTAGACTGATTAGAATTAAATTGTAAGAAATAACTTTTTGCCCTTGCCCTTCAAAATCCATTCTATATATTTGCTGTGGTGCCATTCAGACTCTTGAGTATCTCCATGAACGAAGACTTTACAACCCCTCTGGTTGCCTGTTTTCAGTGTTCTACCACTGTCATGGTGAAAGCTTTTCTTTAATTGTAAAATCATAGAATAAAATTGCATAAAGTATTTCAGACTTGTTCTGAATAAATTACTGTGTTTTTTAGTGCACCTTCCTAGGCTAGTGTCCTAATATTTATCAAGTTCAACTCAGAGAATGTCTCCAGACAATGGTCATGAACTGAATTCTTTGTAACCGCTGGGTAAGCTCTTTGTCTGTAGCAGTTGGGGTGTTTTTTATATGAAAAGCAGAACACATCAACAGAGAGGGATAGGAGAAATAATTTTTTCCCATCTTTTTCTGATAGATCTGTAATGAGTGTTATATTGGAAACATCCTATATGAAATTGCTTTCACTTTGAGATTCTAACACCTTTTTTGGTTCTATTTTAAAAGGGCTTCTCAGGAGTTTAATAACAACACAGTGACATCACATAAAATGAATACACAAAAAGAGAGATTCCTCTTTTTTGGAGATGCTATTGGGAAGAGTCTCTGCAGCCAGTGTAGACAGTGGGAGTGATGGAGGTGACAGGCACAGAAACTGCTCTGCTGTACTCAAACTAATAAGTAAAAAGGCTTCTAGGTTTAGAAACATGGCAGTATCTAAGCAGAGCTGTAAATGAATACAGAAATGCTTTTGGGTATTTCCATATGGTTTGTTACAGAAGCATGACAAATTGCTGAGGCTAAAGGCATTGAAGATCATGGAGTCTAACCTCCTGCTCAGAGCAGGGTTCTCTAGAGTAGATGCTTAGTCTTCTTTCTTGCTGGGGCTTGGATCCTCTGGTAACGTGTGTATTAACCTGTTCATGGATCCGTCTAGAGAATTTATGTTTGCCTGAGGTGTTTTGAGGAGGAGATGTGAGAGAATGGAAGTAGCTTTGGGGAGTGGTCTGGTGGTGTCCTCTGGCCTTTGCTGCCGTGGTGGGCATAATAGCTGCAAAATTTTAAATGCCAGTAATGATGGGCTAGTTAGTAAACCTTTTAATTAAGTGAAATATTTCCTGTTGTTTTTTTGCATTACATACTGTTAAATGCATAGGGTATTGATACCACACAAGAATTTGATAAAGCATGAGTTTCATTATATCTTTTTTGGAAAATAAATGAACATGCCATTTGTGCTTTATGAAATGTTGGTTGTCATTTTATATTGTTGTGTACCCAAGCTAATCATTCTAACTAGCATTTTGTAAGTTAGATATGTCAGATGCTTCCCTATGGCTTGTTGACAATTTTATTTTACCTTGTTCTAGTGTAGTAAAAAAACCCAAGAAACCTCAAACCAACAAACAAAACCACCTCAGAGTATGGGAGTGTTTCTGGAAAGATTTGTGCTAATAAAGGATAGTATTCTTGCTAAGTATATCTTTTCACTATGTTAAAATTTTTCCACCTATTTTCACTATTATGCACTAAAAGTACTTCTAAAGTAGGATGCTAGTTAGGGACAGTATACTGTAGGTTTTGAAGTTGTCAAAAGATGACTACTGCTAAACTCAAGTGTTTAATAAGTGCTTAAGCAAAATTAATGGTTAGAAAGGGGCTATTGTTCAGAGATAAGAGCTAATGGAAAATGCTTTAAGTCCATCTGTCACCTGAATTTCCAACACTAAAAAACCCAGAAAATATTACTGCATCTATGGCTGATGCTTAGTTCTTGATCAGATACTTGCACCTGTTTTAAATACTGGAACAAAACAAGCCTTTAACTCCTTGTTACTGAAAGGCTCTATGTAGTGTATGAATTACATCTGTTTTCTAATTTGGCTCAAATTCTGACATTGAGTGATTTTAAAATGTACTTCATTTTCAAGCAGTAGTCCAGAATTTTGCCACTGTACTTCTTATATTCAATAAAAAGTTTAAGATTGAGTAGTGGATTCCTGGTATCACTTAAACTTTATGCTTCTGCACATCCTCTAATGTCCAACAGATCGTAATGCACTTCTGAACCTATTCTGCATATCAGTTTTTGCATTAAACTGAATGTAGTAATTTCTGTGTTGAACACAAGAACAGAGGAAGCTACTTGAAATCTACCAATGTTAGTGGAAAAATTAGATGTTGTGATCCTTTGGAGTGGGTACTGTTTTTCAATATATGCAATATTTGCTCAGTGTGTGTCTGTAGGTTTTAAATAATTAGCTATTGATTGTGTGGCACTGGAATACTAATGATGACTTATGTCTATTTAATCAGGACCGAGTTTGGGTTACGGTTTTGTGAACTATGTTGACCCCAAGGATGCCAAAAAAGCTGTCAATACCCTGAATGGATTTAGACTTCAAACTAAGACTATAAAGGTATGGAGGGTTAAAACAATTTAAAGAAACTGAACTGGTTTGACTTCCTGATTTGTTTTACAAGTGTAACAAGCATTCAGCTAATGTCAGTAGAATAAACTAGGATTTAATGTAGTAAATGATCCTTTGTAGTGTTTAAAGTTAGATTAAGTAAAGAAGGTATAGAAAATTACATTTTCTTAACCAGCTTAACACTTTAGATGTACAGTTGAATTGCTTTAACTGAGGAATTGTTATATACCTTAGTTGAAGAAATGCAATATTGCATGTTGTTTGAACACCATGTGCTTCCTCATTTTCTCAAAGATGGTATAATTTACTTAATAATACTTCAGGTTTTATGTTAATACTTGTCTTGTTTGTTTTACAAATTCTTAGAATGAAATGCTGAAATAACTATTGGTTATCTATGAATCACTTTCTTTCTAGGGCTCTGGGCTTTACATCTCTAATGTTTGGTATTCCCATCTTTTTCTGTTATGTTACAACTTCTCACATACTTTTTTACTAAATTCAATTTCTTAAAATTCTAGAAACAAATCTTGAGAGTTACTTTCTTCATACCCTCTTTTAATCCAGTACCAGAAGACTGAGGAAACTCATTTGAGCAATTGAGCGCTGGGATTTTGAGAGAAAGTTGATTAAATTAAATTGTCAGGAAATGCAGGTTTCCCAGGTGTTGGTGCCTGAAGGCAGTATATATTCCAACTATCTCATTCTTCCTAATTAAACAGCAAGGTTTGCTAGCTGAGCACTTGTATAGTGGCTGCCTTCTAACTTAAGAGCATGTTTAAGACATGAAATAAAGTCCCTCTAAAAACATTTGTACTTCAAAAGCAGTGCGAAGCTACTGAAAGTCAACTGAAACAAAAATAAGATACCAGTAGTTTTGGCAAAAGTGTCTTGCCTGTTCTGTATTCATAAGATTTAATAGAGTGGATTACACTATTGGAAACTTAAAATACTACTTTGTAACTCATGGCACACAGGTACAATGGATGAAAGACCTGGACCAATGCTTAAATAATGAAAGCTCTTTGTGTGTTTCTGGCAGACTTCTTGCCCACAGTCCTCTCTCATTTTCTACTTTGGGGGAAATTGAGCAAAGTAATTTTGTGCTCCAGGACTTTTGAAGCTATGTTTTGTGTGGTGATGAGAAAGGGAATCTGTTTGTGTTCCAGTAGTATTGTTTGGCATGTGATGCCTTAGATTGAGCCAACATGACTTGTATGTCCAGGATGGTGAACTGGAAGTTCTGTTGATTTATAGGCAAAAAAAAGAAGGTAGGTAGAGAAAATCAAGTCAAGTCTCCCAAGTCAAAATGTTCCCTTCAGGAGGGCTGCAGTAACTTACTTGATGCTGACCGTATTTGAATTTTTAATCCTCCTTTACCTTGCTAAGAGATAATTTAATCAATTTTCACCTCTTAAAAAAAAGGTGAAAATTGAGTAGACGGATATGAGTGATGACAGTGATGCTTTTTATTTCCTGCCTTCCCAGGACCAAACAATGGAATTGTAGGTTAGATACCAGACAAAGATCTTAACAGTGAGACTAAACTCAGGTGCTTATACATTAGATATCTTCAGCTAAAGCAAAGCTGAAACTCCAGAGTTGTCACAAGCCAAAATGATAGCCTCTTTGCCAAAATAAAGAAAATCTCTGTTTAATTTGAGAAAAAATATATTTAAATGCCAATTGTTAATGTTACAAGTAAATTCTGACTGTAGCTACTCCCAGTCAGTCCTGCTGAACTTCAGCACAACCTTTCAGTGTTAGTGGGCATGACTTGAGTGCCAAAACTGTTTTACTGTCTTCTCCTTTATTTACTCCTCTTCCTTTTTGGACATGGGGTTTCAGGCCAAGTTTTATGGGACTGGATTTTCCAAGATCACAGAATCATAGGATGTTAAGGGATTGGAATGGACTTTAAAGATTATCTAGTCCCAACCTCACCACATTTATCTGTGAAGCAGTAGAAATGCCCAGCCTAGATGTAAGCATTTTGTAGCTTACATGTTCCTCAGATCAGCCAGGGAGCAGTGGTAGGCAGAGGTCAAGTTGATGTCTGAGGTTGTTTCTGCCTCAGGTGGTAGCATCTTGGGTGGAGGAAGTATCTTATGAAGTCTCAGTCCCCAGGGCCTTTGTAGAGGTTACTTCCTTTTTATAGACCACAGTGTTCCTATTTGTTCAGAGTTGGTAAGTCAATTACAAAAACAAACATACAAACAAAAAAAAAAAACCTCCCCCCCAAAAAACCCAAACCAAACAAAAAAGATCCAAACCAAAAACCCAGCCTGTTTGATAACTCAGACTCTAACGTATTACTTTCATCTTCAAAAAATGCATGTAATTGAGATGTTTTATGTTTACCTTCATATAAAACATTATTGAATAGGAGTGCTAGTGTATATTTAGGCTTCAAAAGAAAAAAAGTTAGGTGTTTGTTCTCTCTCTGCATTTTTGGGACTTCTGCAGGAATGCTTAGTACTTTACTAGATAGATGGTTCAAATTTGTTTTTCATTAAGATATAAAACTGGAAGGAACTTTGCTGGTTCAGTCATAGTGTGATGTATCCTCACATTGTGACTGAACTCAGTGTAATCCTACTCAGAGGAAACTGACTCTCCTGACCCTGATCTGTGATGCTCTGGATTGGGGCTGTGACAGATACCTCTGATCCACAGCTTAGCTTCTATACTAGCCTGCACGTCATTGGATATATTTTTTCTCATCTCTAAGGGTGTGCCATTTTGTGTTTTCTTGAAATAAAATACATTGAAAAATTGGATTTGCAAAATGCTGGATTAAGGGTTGATTTTTTAAATATTGATAGCAACACAAAATCCTATTACATCTTCCCTTTTTTAAGAGAAAACCCTGTGGAATGCTTTATGGAATACTTTACTGAATTTTTTGCAAAATATCTCAACCAGTTTTCAATTATGTATCTCCAAAGCAAGGATTAGCAATCTTAGTTTTTTCTAACATGATGGCAGTTGTATTGCCTTCTCATTTAACTGAATAGTAAGGGAGCATGTATACTTTGCTGGTAAAGCCCCTTGTGAGTGTGTTAAGATATGTTAACCCTGTTCAGCTGGACGGTATGCCTCCATTATTATATAGTGCCCTCTGTGGCATAATTTATGGTTTATTTGCAATGTAAACTGTGAAGTTTGGCCTTCACTAAGTTATGCAACTTTAGGGTGGAAACAAGTTGCATCTTATACAACATAAAATATTTTCTATGGCTTCTCTTTCAGAAGATGATGCTGCTGATGAGCTTTTTATCTCTGTTCTGTTTAAAAATTCTATTGGACTTTTGTACCTGGAGTGATTTCTCTTCTTACCTGCTTGCTTGTCTGTGACTTTTTTTCATTTAGGTTGCCCTGGAAAGATCAGTTCTTCCCAGACGTGGAAAACTCAGTGAAACAAACTGGTTGTGAGAGTCACTGATTTATACATAGGGTTAAGAAAATTGAGTGCAGATTTTTGTTGGATTGACTTTGTGAAGAATTGATGGAAGTCTGCACGCATTGCTCAAAAGCCAAGTCTTACGCAAATAAAAACAAAACAAAACAAAAAGACTACAAAACAAACAAAATAAAAACTCTACTTGTTATTACTAAGATTGCGTAGCATGGGGAGGGCAGAGTACAAAGATGCAGCATCAAAGTCCTCTAAGAAGGTTGTGGCTTTTTGCATGGATTCAAAATGCGGTAAATGTCAGGCATGGAGATTTGTTACTGTCTGTTGTTTTGAAGGCAGTTTTTTTGTTTGTTCGATTGGGGTTTTTTTAAGTATTGTTATTTTGTTTTAAGTCCAATATTGGTTTTCTTTGTAAGACAATTTTTTATTAATTTAAAACATGGTTATGATTACTTCTGAAATTATGGTAGTCTTGAGATAAATAGACCTCTGTTAATCTAGCACCTTTCAAGGTTTTTTGTCTTACTGAGTGTTGACTCTGTTGTCTTTCATCCGTGCAGTAATAGTTTTTTCCAGAAATGTTGTAAGATACTGCAGTTAGATGTAAGTTGCAGTAGATGTGTTTCATGCATTTCTAGATGTTTCTGTGGAATTGTGCAAGAGACACCCAAGGGTTGTGCTTGCCAGAATCTCTGTCAGTAGTAGAAGCTCCTTAGGTATGACCTGAGGTTTACTCATTTCCTTCAGGAGAATAATTCATGTCTTGTGTTTAAGATTCTATTCCTGTTTGTATTATTTATGTGGAGCGCTTACTATTATACTATATACTCCTGTCCTCCTTGAAAGGTAACTGCTTTCTTTATTCCTAGTGCATCTGAAATTCCTGTGTTCTTGTTGTTTGGGCATGAGTGGGGATCAGAAACATGAACGTGAAGTATGAGGGGAGGTCTTTTGAGACTCTTAAGAATATGAAAATTATGAAATGGAAAATGTTTGGAGACTTGATCTCCTTTCATTTCATATATTTTATTTGTACTTAGAATTCTAAGTTGAGTATTTCTTATTTTTAGCAAGACAGTGGTAGTTACAGACTGCAAGTTCTAAAGTGCTCTTCTGCACTGGTCCTTCTAAGGGCAAAACAGATTTGCTATTCTGTGATTGTAGTATATAATTGCCATCTCATGTTTCATGTCAGTGAACTTGATTATTGTTTTTCTTTTATCAAATATTTATGACCCTGATTTAAAACTGTTACAGTGTCTTGAGACTTCTGGGAAAACCTCCTCTTCTGTTTCCATCAGTGGTAGGATTACCAGCTGGTTTCTGTTCTTAACACATAAGTACATTTGCTTCGGTTCACCAAGTGGATTTTTTGGGTGGCAGTTGCTTTAGACCAATTCTTCTGAAAGCCTGTTTCTGGTCTTCCTGTGTGCTACATATAGCATCATTTTCTTTGAGCAGTGTGCTGTCCTTAATTGGTTATATCCTGAGGATATAACCTGGTACTTATATTCTATATATTCTGGTACTTATTCCCTGAGATATATAAAGACTGGCCTTAAGTCTGAATTTGTCAGATCTGTCCATTCATGCCCTTAGCTGAGTGGCAACAGATGTGGATCCCATGACCCACCTCAGGCCCTTGACTTGGTGGTGTAATGTTTGCACTTCCAGTAACAAGTCTTTCCTACTAACTGCAGTAAAACTGTTTTTAAATTGATATCTCCAGAGTAGTGCTATTCAGTGTTGTACAGTGTTTGTCATCATTAAATATTTAAAACTGTAGGCTTTCAGTCTGTTTCTTGACTTGCCTTGTTCAGTGGTTTTGATATCACATAACTGAAACATTCACCTGTTGAATTAGCTGTGGAATGAAAATCTTGGTACAGGTGTTAATTCAGTCCATATAAAAGTTGTTTGAAAGAGACTAAGTATAGCAACTATATTTAAACTACCTGCAAGTAATTCCTGAATGAGCAAACTGACAGGCTGTAAGTAGGGAGATTAGTTTGGAGAGTTTCTGCTTTAAATGTGTATCACAATGAAATTACTGGACTTCGACATCAAAAATTAAGAGGGAAATGTATATCACATAATCTAGGCAAGGTTCTTTTAATACAAATTTTATACAAGCAATATTTTGTGGTGTCATTGTTTTTCACTAGTGGTGCTGATTTAAATTACATTGCATTTCTGAAGTTACATGTTTCTTTCAGATTTTTTGCCTGACCAGTAGTTCTGGTGCTTAGCAAGATGGTTAAATAGTGTGTACAGATATTGGTGATTAATCACAGATTGTGGTTTAATATGTGTTATTATTGTGACTAATGTGTCCAAATTCAGTGTGTTGGAATAGTCACTTGTAGGTAATAACAGTGAAACTGGATATGTGAGAGTAGTGTGTACTGGTTAGAGTATTGTTTCCATTTACTTGCACTCTTGAAATTCAGTTTAGGCATTGACTGCTATGTCAAACTTTTTGAAATGTTTTTAACCAGGGAAGTCACGGGCAATACTGGACTAGCTGTCATAATGCAAGAACTCATACTCACTTACCAGAGGAAAAAGAGAGAGTTCTGCAAAAGCTGCTTTGTATTTTGACAGGTTCCAGTTCTGTAGGATAAGGTAAACTTGCAGTAAGTTAGCAAATATTTTGTGCAGGTTTCTTCTCTTCTGATAGACTTTGTGTGAATTTATATTTTTATATGTGACAGGCATGTGTCCAGCAGTGTGAATTCCCCCTTGAAAGACAGAGTCTGCATGGGTTTGGTAATTCATGATTTTATGGGGACTAGTCCTATTCCCCATGCAGTTTGTCTTCATTTCTTGGCCTTGGGTCTCCTTAAAGTCCTGTCAAGTGAAGCATGGAAGTTTATTTCTTAAAGAAGCTCAGGGCCAAATGGGTAATTGAACAAGTTTGTTCATTCTTTAGCTATTGGGTTTTTTTGCATGGTAAAAAAGAGTAACTGTCACTGTTTTGGTTGCTTCTTTGGCTGAATGCAGACAGACTTTACTCTAGTTTCCTGTAACTTTGATCTTAGGGCTTTAGCTCTTAAGTGGTTCTCATGTGGAAAGAGCAAGGCAGTGTGACTTACAAGGTTCCATGCTGGATAGCTACAAGGTTTTGAGGTCAGTCCTCCTCAACAACCTTGCACAAAGCCTCTGTGTGGAACTTGAAGGATCACAGCAGTGTTCAGGGTACTGCTTGTTTAATCTCCAGCATACTGTCTTCTGTTTTGCTTCCACAGCAGTCTTAAGAGTCTGCTGATCTGCACAGAAATGAGACAAGGAAGGATTTGAAAAGAAATACCAAAGAATTAGGCAAAAACACAGAATGACAGAATCAAGTTCCTGTTGCCCAGTATTGGCTAACAGTATATAGAATGGGAGAGGAGAGGAGATAAATCAGAGTACTTCTTGAGGATCCTTTTTACTTTCATGTTTTACATAGGTGAAAAGACTACATGAAGTATTTTGTCCTGTTGGAGAGGCACAGATGTTCTAATCATTCTTGTAGTAACGCCACTGGTACAAACTTCGGTAGGAAGTAGTGAACGTGCTGGTTTTTAGCATGTGTCTAAGTGTCAAAGAATCTGCTTAATCATCTTAAAATATTTTAACTGACTCATCAAGGCAGCAGGTAAAAAAACTCCTGTCCAGAAGGATCTGAGAAGTTCACTGTTAAATGGCACTTGTTTTTAAGGCCTCTTGCAGAAATTGACAAGCTGCTAAACAGGCAAAATACAGGTTGCGGTCCTCCTTCTGCCATTCATTCTTAGGCCTGTGAAAGTGAGGTAGCAGAGTTTATCTTGATCTCATGAATGATTGTGATTATGAATCATTTGGTAGCAAGCTCAACACACAAAAAAGACACAGCACCTGAAAAACACTTGCAAACCTCTAAGTGCTTGAGACTGTCTTTCTGTACCTTTGGCCCACATATCACACTGAAATCTTAATTTTTTTTGTATGTTTTAGTGCTTTTTAATAAGAATTCATGGAACATGGGATATTCATCGAACTTCTTAAATTTGTTGCTTTAATTGTATACTTTCTCCACCACGGCTTGCCTAGCTTTTTCTCATTAAGTATATATGAATTCATGTAGTGAGCTGCTCCTGTGTGGTCTAAGTTGCCTTCCTTCCATGTTTTGGAAGCCAGCTCCCAAAAAACACCCCAAAACCAAACCAAACAAAAAGACCCACTGAACTGGCTTTGCAAAGTAACTGTTCTGTCTGTTGTTGGAAATGTTTTTATGTCTCAGAACAGATGACACTGTCCTATTTCAGCTGGTTTTAAAGTGTTTGTCTTCTAGATTTTTAAATTTTTTTTTCCTAAGGTTTCTTATGCACGTCCAAGTTCAGCTTCTATCAGAGATGCAAATTTGTATGTTAGTGGACTGCCAAAAACAATGACCCAGACAGAACTGGAACAGCTCTTTTCCCAGTATGGACATATTATTACTTCTCGTATTCTGGTTGACCAAGTCACTGGTAAGTAGGCAGTTTTGCATGGCCTTTCATGGACTCACAGTTCGAGATATTTCATCTTTCAGTACAATCTTCTTATCTCTATAATGTATAAAAGGTGTATGTAGGCCAGATAATTCTTTTTTCTCCTGGAATTGTTTATAAATATGCATGGACAAAAATAGACTGTGTAGTGTACCAAACCAGTTTGAGTTATTTCCACCCTGAAGGTGCACATCTGAAGCTTGTTCGATGAATTGTAATAAATTTACAGCTCCCATAATCTTCCTTTCCAAGCTGCTGTATGAAAATAGTTTCCCAGTGCCTTACAAAATGCTATTAATTTTTTTTTCCCTAAGAAGAAAATTTTATGCAGAAATGCACAGCTGGGTCTCTGAGACTAGAAGTACAGAAGCCTTAGGTGAGCAGTTGCTGTTAAGACTGTTTTCAAGGCTAACGCATTAAACTTGGGCACACACATGAACTTTGAGTTCCTCAGAAGCAAGTAAGTTCTGTAATTACCCATGCTGTAAAGTACTAAGATGTAGCAGATTATTTGTATTACTACAGTATGTGTGTCAATCAGGTAATGCTTGTCAGTGACATTTTGTGGTTACTCTTCAGGCTTGGGACAGTAATGCCTGTGGTTTTTTGCTGTCTCAGATGGCTGATCTTGAGGATCTTTATAGTTTTCTGAATCACCTGCTGTGAAGTCTCTGCCAGAAATAAGAAATTTAATGAAAAGCCAAGTACATGACAGGAGCATTGAATGTACAAAGCAACATACAAAGAATCGGGTTCGGAGAATTCTCCAAGTTCTCCCCCTTCCAGAACACTAAGTGGTGGGACAGATTAAGTAATTTACTTGCATAACCATTCCCTGAATAAGTTGGGTTTGATTTCTTCTTTTTTTTTTTTTTTTAAATAGTTGTACCTTTTCAAAGCTGCATATCCTCTTGGGTTGCAAGCAGCTTTCAGCTGTAGAAGGTCATAAGGTTTTTTAATTGTCTTACTTTGAAAAGTTTGCACATGCCAGCATTTGAGTCACGGCTGACCTTTAGAGGAACTTGTGTGTACTCCTTGGACTTCCACTAAGTCAAAAGAAGGCTCCATGTTGATACACAGTACTTACAGAGTGTTTTGATAGGTTGGGTTGTTGAGAGTGTAGAGAGGCCTGGAAAAGAAAGCTAAAGGCTGAATACTGAACTGTAGATGTAGCAGATTTGCGGGACAGATTCCTAGTCTTTGTGCAATAGATAGCTGTTCACTGTAGGTTCCTGTATGTTCATACATAGAAATAGATGGCATTTAACAAATGGACAGGTAAGTAAACACAATTGAACTTCTAATAAGTGTTACAATTCTATTCATATTCATAAATCCTGCTATTTGCAGCATACTTTCTGGCATACAGATTGTTGTTAAGGCTTAAGCTTTCTTGCCTCCTTCTATTTAGTAATTTGGAAGAAGTAGGCGCCGAATTGTATGAATAATAAGGTTGTGATACAAACTGACAAATAAAAAATGCAATGTTGAAGCTGTGACATTTGCCTCTTTAAAGCTTTCTTATGTCTATTCATTGTCACTTTTGATGGCTTAAATCATTGTTTATGAGCAGAATACATTTCTTGTCATTAATGTCTTTCTCAGTTGAGGACAAGTGTCTAACTCATCTGGTTATTTATGCTCCAAAATATAAAGGAGTTCTAAATGGCACTAGAAATATTATAATAAAACATTGATCTAACTAATGTTGTCTGTTTGTAGCTTTAATGTTAAAGTTCAAGTATCCAGTGTAGCTCAATGTGTTTATGTCTAAGACACTTGAAATTTTTGATGCGTGATGTTCCTAAGAACTTCCATAAACACTTTTGGATTCCTTTGCGTGTTGCATTTGATTTTTCTATATCAAGAAAAGTTTCCTTCAAAAGTAACAGCTAGTGAATGTATGGTGATTCACCAGAACCAAGTCTTTTAGTCTTTTACTCAGAGATAACCACTGACTCTTAAAACATGGCCATAATCCCCATTATTGCAATATAGTATGTGCATGTCATCATCCTCTGAGTATATTTGCTCCAAAGAGCAAATATAAAAGCTTCAGGGAATACTGCAGGAGAGCAAAAGCGCTTTTTTTTTTTTTTTTTTTTTTTTTTTTTTTTTTTTTTTTTTTTTTTTGTCTGCTAGAGAGCGGAGAATTAAGCTATTTGCAGAATTGTTGCCAGTGTAGGTACTGCAGAGTAGCATGAGCTGACCAGAGGTAGCAGTGCAGCTGGTTTGGGTTCATCTCCATCCAACAAAATTGCTTTGTTTCTGAATTCCACTTCGTCTCACTATATTACACAAATGTATCTTACATCAGTTCAATTAAAAATTAAAATCAAAATTACAGTAGAAAATTCTTACTTTATGCAAAAGCTCAGTTCTGTTAAGCTCAAAATTATCATGGGTTCACAGCATTTGACCATCAACATAGCAACTGGCCCCACAAATAAAAGTTAACATCTAATATTCTGGAGTCTGTGAATTCATTACTGTATGCTTTTTTCACCTTGTGCAGGGGTGTCACGGGGCGTGGGGTTTATCCGGTTTGACAAGCGAATTGAAGCAGAAGAAGCTATCAAGGGCTTGAATGGTCAGAAACCTCCAGGTGCCACAGAGCCCGTCACTGTAAAGTTTGCTAACAATCCAAGCCAAAAAACCAATCAGGCCACTCCAAACAGAAGGTATCCCGCCCCTCTAGCTCAGCAGGCTCAACGTTTTAGGTAAGTCAAATAATGTGCACAAGTGTACTGAAACTTGCATGTTCCCACAGACCTGATTGATTTGCCTCCGCTCTTATGCATTCCTACTTGTCGTTCTGTGTGGGAAGGAAACACGTGAATGCTGAACTTCAGCTATGCTACCACAGTACAGCTAAAACCAAAATGCATGCCATCCTATTGATTTCAGTGTCTAATAAGCATACTTACTTAAACCAAGGTGGCATCTCTCTTGGACTCAGTCACTTAATTTTTTTTCAAAGATTACTTTTCATTTCCTAAGTTATTCTTGATTAATGTGCAAGTTGATTCAGTTAATATTGACCGAGGAGATACAGTAGTTTTTTCTTAGCATGGCATGCCACAGCCAGCTTCCTCTTTATCGACCCATGCATTTTTCCTCCGCATTCTGGCTTTCAGTTTTTTTTCCTGTTTAGTTGTCTGTGTTCTCCATGCTGTACTTTGTCTTTTCTTGTCACAACCTTTCATAATGAAGATTGCTCACATATTTTCTGCATGTACTTTTTGGGGACTTGCATTCCCATCATGTTGAAACAGTTGCTATATACTTCCCTGTGCTATTTAATGTATTGAACAGATGGTGAGAACAAAGTGAAACAAACACTGTACTATCTATATCCATGAGTACCTTGGATTTTTTTTGTCATCTTGATTATTTCTTCCCTCCCTCTGCCCCTAAACAGTATGACTGGGTTGTGTTAAATAGTAATCCACTCAAGGAATATCTGTTTTGTTTTTTAAGAAACAAAACCAATTGACAGTTTTCTTCAAAGAGAATATACCAAATTTCAAATGCTTTGTATTGGCTAGGCTTGCTTAATCCAAATATTCAGAGTTCATGGCTTGCACTTCTGTCAGAATTTTAAAATTTTTTCTTCTGTTCAGCTTTTTGGCTTTATCTGCTGCATCTCAGAGGTGTAAGGAGTAGGTGTTCTGCTGTAGGAGAGGGGATAACAAATTTTATTTACTTTTTTGTAGCTCTTTTTACTGTTTCTTAGGTAATAAAAGGGCTATCTTACAACAGTGTTCTGAATATTGCATAAAAGTAGACTTGCATTATTCTATAGACAAAGTCTGAGGGCAGAAATTGCAGGATGGACTCAAGTATATTGTATGGAAAAAGATCATGGGGTTTGTGTCACAAGGTTATTCAACATACTCTGGCAATGACCTGATGCAGTTGCCCCATCTCTGTTAATAGTTGACAGAGGCCTGAAAACAGCTTAGATTTTAATAATAAAAGCAACAGGATCAATGCAATGCTTTCTTTTTCCTTATTAAGAGAAAACTTGAGTTGGACTTTCAAAAGCAGATCCATATCATTGTTTCTCAGTTTCCATAAGATATGTAAGTTAAAGCATCTTTAAAAATTTTCCAGTGAAAGTCCCTGAGAATATTTCCAGAGTATTTTCAAGTCTTTAAGGCAACTTCTGAAAAATCATACAAGTGATACCATTACTGTATTAAGTCCTCATCTGACAGCCCTTGTAACAAGGACCTGTAAGTGTGATGTTTCTAGAACTCTTCACCTTGCTCTCCACCACTCATGTCAGTGACAGTAGACTTCAGTCACCCACACTGTCTACTGATAGTAGTCAAGTATTTTTTAGTTTTCTTTTTCTGCTCTTTTAGGGGTTCAATAATTTATTGTCAGTGTATTCTGCAAACCCAGCTCACTGCAGAATCAGTGCTCTCTGGAAAACTAAATGAAGTGAATGTTTTTTTACCTAAGCTCGTGTTTTATTGAGTCTTGATCTATATATATATATATAATAAGACTACCTCTTTGTGTATCTGGGATTTGCCAGATAGAAACAAGAGCTTCTTTAGGGTGAACATGTTTTGAAAGAAGCAGTTTAAGGGACTCCAGGAATAAGAGCAATAGGAGTGGTATGCACTGCATATTTCAGATATTGGCTAGATTATTTCAAGGGGTTTAGAGTTGTCGTGGCGTTCTGTAACTGGGGGAAGGTGAAGCAAGAATCACATGGAGAAATCTTGAAAATAATATATATATTATAGAAACACTATATAATATATATAAATATATATAAAATATATATTAAAATATATTAATAGACACACTTCATCCTGGAAAATTAGAGCATCATAGAATATCCTGGGTTGGAAGGCGCCCACAAGGATCATCAAGTCCACCTTCTGGCCCTTCACAGGGCCAAGGGTCACACCATGTTCCTGAGGGCATTGTCCAAACAATTCCTGAACCCTGGGAGGCTTGGTGACATGACCACTTCCCCAGGAATCTTATTCCAATGTCCAGCCACCCTCTGGGTGAAGAACCTTTTCCTCAGGCACAGCTTCAACACAATTTCAGGGCATTCCCTTAGGTCCTGTCACTGGTCACCACAGGGAAGAGATCAGTGCCTGCCCCTCCTCTTCCTTCCCCTCACAAGGAAATGTAGAGTGTAAGGAGGCCAGGCACCTCTCAGGCTCCCCAGGCTGAACAAGCCAGATGACCTCAACTGCTGCTTGTACAGCTTCCCCTCCAGACCCTTCACCATTTTCTTGTTCCTCCTTTGAACACTCTAGTAGCTTTATATCTGCCTTATATTATGGAGCCTAAAACTGTCCCCAGCACTTGAGGTGAGGCTGCCCCAGTGCAGAGCAGAGCAGGACAATCCCCTCCCTTGTCCAGCTGGTGATGCTGTGCCTGATGTCCCCCCAGGACTTGGGGGTTCTGGGTACCAGGGCACTGTTGACTCATGTTCAACTTTCTGTTGACCAGGACCCCCAGGTCCTTTGCCATGCTTTTCAGTGTCTCACTCCCCAGTCTCTCTGTACATCCTGGTTTCCCTCGTCTCAGGTGCAGAATCTGACACTTGCCCTTTTTAAATGTCATGTAGTTGGTTATTGCCCAGCCCTCTAATTTGTCAAGGTCCCTGCAGAGTCCCTCTGCCTTAAGGATAGTCAACAGGTCCTCCCAATTTAGTGTCATTGGCAAACTTACTTAGTATATGTTCTTTAAGTCCTCCATCCAAGTCATTTCTGAAAATGCTAAAGAGCACTGAGCCTAAAATGAAGCCCTGTGGAATCCCAGTAGTGACCAGTCTGATGTCACCCCATCCATTGTAACCCTTTGTGCCTTAGCCCTGAACCAGTTGCTTACCCATCCCATGATACATTTATCCAGCTGTGTGCTACACATTCTATCCAGAAGGATTTTGGGAGAGGCAGTATCAAAGGCTTTACTGAAATCCAAAAGGATTACATCAGCTGACTTCCTTGGTCAGCTGGGTGGGTTATCCTGTCATAAAAAGAAATTTAAGCTTGACAAGCAGGACTTTGCCCTCATGAAGCCATGCTGGCTGTGATTGTGTTTTTCAATACTTCCCAAAATAATCTCCATACTTTTACCAGGCACTGAAGTGAGACTGATAGGCCTGTAGTTTCAAGTGTCATCCTTCTTGCCCTTATTGAACATTGAGGTAGTGTTAGCCAGCTTCCAGTCAAGTCCATATTTCCAAAATTATTAGAAAAAAACATTGAAAGAGAGCTCACAAAGACACCGACCAGCTCTTTGAGTGTTCTTGGATGAATCCCATCCAGTCCCATAAATTTGTAGGGACTCAGTTGGAGATCCCACACAAGTTCAGGGTTGTACACCATTCTCAGCTGATGCTACTGGAACCCTCTTAGCCCATCATTTGGGCTAAGATAAAAGATGAAGGCAAAGAAAGAAAACTCTGTCTTGTTTGTGTCCCTTTTTGTGGGGTAACCATTTTCATTCTGTAACAGGCTGTTATTTTTGGACTGCTCTTTGAGATTGACATATTTAAAAATCTCTTCTTGTCCCCCACATTGTTGGCAAGCTTCAACTCCTTTTGAGCTTTGGCCGTGTGCCAAGAGAGAAAAATGTACTTTACTACAGGCCACACAAATTTTCTCCCTCCAGCAGCAAGAAATTCTCTATTCTTTCCATAGCCGCCTGACTTTGCCTCCATTCTCCTTACACTTACTTTTTTGCCTTAGCCCTGCTCAGCCAAACTAACCTTTCTGCCTCCCAGCATTCTGGACTTGCAGAGGGAGTAGGAACATGAAAAATCTTTTTTTGGAGTTTATGTTACAACAGTTGTTAGTGATCCAAAATACTGCATCTGTCTTGATAGTTATGTCAGCAAACATGTCAGAGGCCTTAATAAAAGTCCTCTTCTCAACCAGTTTAGTAATGCGGAAAACTTCACTGATGTGATCACTGACTGTAACTTTATGGTAGCAGGATGTGATTCAGGCTAAATTTGTGTCCATGGCACACTTTATAAAATTAACTTCTTATGATAGTGGTTACTACACAAGAATTGTAGCAGTGTGGGGTTTAGATGGTGGATGCTGCTAGGTATTTCTCAATTAGCGTCTCCACAAAGAATATCTGTTTTGTCTTCACTATCAGGTGTAATAAAGTGCCATGGCTCTTTCAGTGGTGATACTTTAACATTGCGTGAGGTTCAGCACAGTGTAATGGATGTGACTGTAATATGCTAAGTTTCCTTAATCTTAAAGTGTGGAAAGGTCTGAAGACTGAACATGTTGCTAAATGTTTTGCAGGTTGGACAATCTGCTCAACATAGCTTATGGAGTAAAGAGGTAATAAGGATTAGTTGGTTCATAATAACCAAATTATTTTGAAGTATTTTGCAAACTCTTACTTTTCAGTAAGACTTACGTTGGATTTTTGCATGTTGAGACTTCAGCTGAGATTGTTCATTTTGATGCATTTTGCATGAAAAAGACAAGCCTTTTGTAGAAGTTCCATGGAATTCCTGTTTCAAATGACTTGCTAATTCTCACTGGTTTTATAGCATGCTTTCCTTTTGATTTTCTGTTACATCATTTCAGACATACCTAGCACTGTTCCCCTACTTGTATATAATTTTTTTACATAGTAATTGTGCAGTTAGGGTGCAAAAAACATTTCTGATCTTATTTTTCTAGTCTGAGCAACATGTTCATTCTGTGAAAAGCTCTGTATCATTATCTTTTATTTTTACATTTCTTTGCTGGGGTTTTGCATGAACAGCTGTATTATGATTGTTTTGCTTTCCCTCATTCTTTAGTAGGTTTCCTCCAATGACCATTGATGGAATGACCGCTTTGGCTGGAATTAATATCTCTGGACATGCAGGAACTGGGTGGTGCATTTTTGTGTACAACTTGGCCCCTGATGCTGATGAGAGTATCCTCTGGCAAATGTTTGGACCTTTCGGAGCAGTGACCAATGTGAAGGTCATCCGTGACTTTAACACCAACAAGTGCAAAGGTTTTGGATTTGTGACAATGACAAACTACGATGAGGCAGCTATGGCAATAGCCAGCCTGAACGGATACCGCCTTGGTGACAGAGTATTGCAGGTCTCCTTCAAAACAAATAAAACGCACAAACCCTAACAAGTTATTCTCAGTGCATTAATACGTGAAAACTATACAACAAAGGCAATTTACAAGAAGCTTTATGCATTAGTAAATGCCTTTGTTGTATTCCAGTGTGGAAATGGGGATAAAATGACTACTTAGCATCCTAAGAATATGTGAGATTTTTTTATTGCTAATATTTGAATTAGAACTTCTTAAATATCTTTTGTCTTTGAGTATTGACAAGAGGTAGAGGGTTTTTACCTGTTACAATGCTTATTCTATTGCCTTCTTTGAAGAAGGTGGGACTTTTAAAATGTTTCAGCTAAGGGAAGAAGTTTCTTTTCTTTATACATGACTTCCTTTAATTTATGAGTAAATATTGAGGTTTTGTGTAATACTGTAATTTTTGTCAGTTCTTGATTTGTTTTGTGTTTAATTTACCTTGCAATGCATTATTGTTTTCTTGTTCAAGAAAAGTAAAGTTTACATGTTATTTATAAAGTTTAAGCAGTATTTATTTCATCATCTTCATTTGGGCTGGGGAGTGGGAGCACAATATTAAAGCTTATTGTAAGAATACTGGAGAACTTTTCGTAAAGCATTGCCAAAGAGATAAGAGCCTCTTTGATGTGGGTTTAAAAAAGCATCTATTTTTATTAAAAAAAAAAAAAAAAATTTGGAGAAACTTTTTACTGGTCCTGGAACAAATATTTTGACATGAATACTTTGAGAAATCTCTTCATATGACACCTAGTGAGCTTTTAAAACTACCAGAAAATTTGCAATTGTTGGGAAAAAAAGTAGAAATATTTATGATGTAGAACTACTTTTGAGACCTTTGTATTAAGAAGTAAAGTCAATGGAATGCACTGTTGGTTTCATTTTTTGTAATCATCAGTGGAGTCATTGATCATCCTGGTTATTAAGTGGTAGGTGGCTCACTTTAATTTGTGATTTTGAAGCAAATGAAAATTTAAGAAAAGAATATAAGAGCAAGCAGAAAATTCAAACACTGAGATATGGGGGAAATAAATCTGTTCTTCCTAAAGAATTCCCTTCAGATAGAGCTCATGGTGTTTAGTGATGTACTTGCTATTGTTTGAAGAATTGTTTTGTCTTAAGAAAAGACATCAAGCATGACTTGTGAAGTAGCAAATCAACAGAAGTGGCCTGAGTTGGATGCATTAGGAGGTATTTTGAAAGTTATGTTCAAGGCTAACACCTGAGCTTTGTGTAATGTAAATAAGACCTTAAGTTATGAACCTTTCAGCTAATTTTGATTATAGTTTTTTTAAAAGTTACATGCCGAGTGATGTTCAATTTTGAATGTTTTTGTATAAGTTTTTTCTATGTAAATGGCATTAACATTGTTACTTGATGTCTGCTTCATATTTTCTTTTTTTTTTTTTCCTGAGGACTTGAATTTACAGTGCATCAGATCTGTTGCTATTTTTGTCTGTAGATAATCCAGCTTCAGCTGTTTATGGTGATGCAACATTTTCGTTCATGAATATGTTTGTGGTAAAAAAAAAAAAAGTATAAACATATGTTTTGACCAAATTTCCTTACATTTTTCATATGAAAACCATAAATACCTGTATGCTATTGAAGTTTAACTTTGTATGATGCTTAAATCACTCTTTGGGGAAATAGAAAAAGTCTTTGCCATGTATTGAAGAAATTTAAGGAAAACAAATGCAGAATATTTTCTGATTAGCATCTAGCTTATAATAATTTTTTTTTTTTTAAAGCTGAGGGTTTGGTGCCTTCACAAGGATGCACTGACAACTACGTAGTTACGTCCTGCTTTTTGTATAAACTGAAATGCTCATATGCTTCCCCTTAGAAAAAGCAATGTTCTATGCATAGCATAGTTGTACACTATCTTTGCAGTTGTTTTTGGTTCTTATTCTTTTAAATTGTAGTTATAAAATTTTCAGTATAGTACAGTATATATACTGTGAAGCGCGTGCTAAAGTGAATAAGCAAGTTTTCATGCTGACCCACTCAATGCTATTCAAAAATCAATTGGCTTCCTGAGTACTTCTTCATTCTTAGATGCATTTAGATTGTTAAAAGCTAATCCTCTGCATTAAAAGTTGTATATAGTATAGAAATCACAAACTTTCCAATGTGGGAGAAATAGTAGCTTTTCTGTACTTCTTTCCTGTACTACTATAGCAACTGACAGCATTGATGAGAAGGCATGTAAATTGGGCTTAACTTTACAGTGCTTATCAGAGCACTTAGTAAAATATAAGGCTGGTATTTATTTGAAGTTGTATAGTATGACTTAATTCACATTTGTTGGAATAGAGAATATATTCTGTTGGGTATTTAAGAGGTTGTACATGTTTTCTTTTGTGTTTGGATTCTTTGTACTTTTTCATGTTCAGTACATCAATAAACAAAGTTGAAGGGAAAACAGTCTCATAAGCCATATTTTCTGTTGCTCTAATGACTAACCAAGTGAAAGGTTTCTGCAAAGCTTTTGAGCTACTTGTAATTTAGGTTAGGATCCTAGTTACCAACAAGGAAGTAAGACAATGGAGCTCTGTACCTGTTCTGTTACCTTAGAATTAAGTGTAGAATCTTTTCACTTTAGTTTTATATTAATCACTCAGTACTTAGGCTGAAATAATAGAGTACCATTAAATGCATTCAGTAAAAATTATTTTGCTGTCTGTCTAACAGGCTGCTATGTGGTGTAACTAAGTGAATGCCCTCGTGTGTTTTCCAAGAGATTACACAGAAAGATTAAGAAGTATCAGGGACTCTAATATGGAGGTGCACCAGTTGACCTGTGTTCTGACCTTCCTGAGACAGGAGCAGAGACTAGAAAGAAATCCATATCCAGAGCCTTGTGTAACCTCCCCCTGCCAGGCTGAAGGTAGTAGATCAGAAGGAAGGACTGAATGGAGGCAAGTCTTGCTTTGCACAACAGGCAAAAGCCCTTCTTGTCCACCTCACCCTCCCAGGTGCCTCTGTGCAGTAGGTGTGAGGCTCTGGATCTCAGTAGGAAAATCAGTGGATGATTAGGACAAAGATCCTTCTCCAACAGAAAAGTCTGCCTCCCTTGGGCATGAGTTATGGATGTCACCAGGAAACTTCCTAGCCTGGTTCAGCCATCAGACTCATACTGCTTGTTAGTTCTCTATGTGCATATTGACAAAGCCACAATGCTTAGTCCAAAGGCTGTCAAAAGAGACTTTGAGGCCCTGGGATGGTTGGAGAGGTAATCAGGGGTACAGGTTATTTTTTCCTCTACTTATGTAGGTGCAGGTAGTTACCTTGAAAAAAAACATATGGACCCAGTCTTAATACCTGACTCTGGTGCTGGTTGCACACTGCCACAATTTTGGTTTCTTATGTATAATGGGTTGGCCTCCATGGTCCTGGACATAATGAATTCAGATGGGATTCTCCTCTCTAAAAGGGGAAAGAGGGCCTTTGTCAAGGGCTCAGGGAGCTGATTGACAGGGGATTTAACTTGATAACCCCTTGGGGGAAGGGGTTATAATCAGATTTAATGGTGAGAAGGTGTGGGGTTGATGCGCCTATCCCCCTCAGTCCCCCGAATCACCAGGCTAGCCCAGATATACAGGGCCTTGAGGGAAAGCGAATCAGGAGATGGGCAAAGATACAGAAGAGAATCCAATTCCCCGATGTGGTTCTCCAAGCGTGTTTAATCCATGAGATGAAGGGGGAAAGAGAGTGAACAGGAAGGGACAGGGCCTTATCTAGACTTTGGACAGGGAGGGCTTTCTGGCTCTCCGCCAACCTGATCGGGGCAGGAAGGAAGGGACCCTGCTTATCTGATCCCAATCACAGGGGTCGCTGGAAAAGGGGAAAGCATAGCCAGAGTGCACTGAAACATCTCCCCCTTTTTTGTTTAACAAGGTTACAGGAATTCACTGGGGTCAGTTTAACCCTGAGTATGGGTTTCCTGCCACCTATAGTTGGTGGCGTAGTCAGACCTCCTTACGTTTGCTAACTGTATGTGGTTGACTTCTGAGGAAGAAGGTATGAGATCCTTGATAGCTTTGAAAAAAGTGACACAGGATCCCGAACGCCAAGGTTACGAGGAACAGCGTAACAAGATGTAACAAAATTGATCTAACAACAGAACACCACCATGTGAATCCCCAGCCCTTGAACAGTTCTTTGAACCAATCCTCGGATTCTTGCTTCACTTGTCTGATCAGGCTGTTCATGCTTTGAAGGGCAGGATGGATGTTTGGAGCTTTTGCAGTCAGGTCGATGCACCAAAGTCCTTCAAATTCCTGGCATTCATGTCCATGCAGTAACAAAAGGAAATCTACAGCAGCACGGTTTTGAAGTGTGGCCTGTCTGGTAATTTCCTCATCTTCCAGGAGGGAGCTGATGGAGGCAGACGTTAAGTTTGCCTGTTTGATTACCCAGCTTTCTAGGTGGCCCAATTCACCTAGAGCTTTGGCTGCTGCAACCCATGGAAGGAACAGTGACACAGCAACTCTTTTTGACTTGGCCCAATGAACAATTTCTGAGTTACAATTTGGGTCCAAATTGTCTGCACTTCTCTTTTGAATTTTGTTTGCCAGTTTGTTTTCTGAGTCCATTTGGCAATTAGAGTTTGGTTGGGTGTCAATACGGACAGCCTCCCTATGGTACATGGCCCTCCTAAAAGCTGAGATGGAATTCCTGCCCACGCCCGATCCCCACAAATCAAGAACAATCCCTTAGGGAGACCTTTGGGACTTGAGTGAGATGGGTTGTCTGCCCTGATATGGCTTGGGTTGTGACACCCCCTTCTTGCAGTAAAATCCTCACCATGTTGTTTTATAACATGGTACTCGTTAGTGTTAGAAATTTTTGGGATAACAGAAAAATGTATGCAGTAAGCTGCAGGAGAAGAACCCAGTAGCTCTAACTGTTGGGGTTCCTGAGCCATCCGGGGCAAACCTCGCAACCACTCCTCTAAGGATTTCCAACTTTGTGTGGTCAGGATGTGTGTGACTCTGGGATTTTGTTGGACCTATGTTTGTCCAAACCTGCTGGAAATTCTCCAGTCTGCCATAGAATTCCTACCAGACAGGTGGACATAGGGTCCTTTGCTGCTGTAGTGGACAAACCAATGTTTTCCTGCTGAAGTGTCTGTGCCAGGGTCACCCAGACGTTTTGACACAGCTGAGCGATGACCCACGCAGCTGCCTGACTGTTCAGCATTAGCAAGATGACAACTTGAATGGGGTTCATCACAGGGTTAAGTGGGAGGTAGGTTTTCTATGAAACGGAAAAAAAGACATTTTTAAAACATGTTAAAAGTTTCTGTTTCTGCTGAAAAGAATTCACACTTAGGAAAATTCTCCTTTTTCCATTCAACGGCATCTACTTGCTTCTTATCCCCTTCTCTCTGATCTGGATTCTTGGGGACAAAAAGTTTCACCCACTTCTGGGGAATTCATCGAGGGCCTGAGGGAGTAGCTACACACGCATAGCCATGACCCCAGGTCACGAGCTCATAGGGACCCTTGGTTTCCCAAGTTTCTGGATCCCTAATCAAGACTGGTGGACACTGAGACAATTTGAACTGATTGCCACTGTTTAAGTGATGTACAACTGGTGGACTCATGTTTTCAAATGAACAGTTCAGAAAATTGATTATAACATCACTTTACAGAGCTTCTCCCATGGAGACATCCATGGAACTGAACTGCTCTGTCTTTTCAATACCTGCTTGAGCGTCTGTTGTGCACACTCAACCACAGCTTGACCTGTGGGGGAGTGAGCGATACCAGTCTAATGTTTCACTCCCCACTGCTGGAGAAATTCTAGAAACTCCTTGGATGCATATGCTGGGCCATTATCTGTTTTAATCGCTTATGGAACCCCCAGTACTGAAAATGCTTGCACTAGCTGCTGTTTGGCATGCATAGCCTTTTGTCCTATATGAGCAGAGGCATACACTGCACCTGAGAATGTGTCCAGGCTTACATGCACCATGAACGCATTCAAGGCGACCAAAACTTTGAATGTGTGTGATGTCTGTCTGCCGCACCTCATAGCTGCCAAGGCTTCAGGGGTTTACCTCCATGCCCATCGATGGCATGGCCTGGAGCTGGCAGTTTGGACAGTTGGCCACAATGGCTCGCGCCTGACTCCGTGTTAGCTGGAACTGTCGGATCAGACCTGGCACATTCTGGTAGTAATGTTGGTGTCTCAGCCTTACCTCTTAGAAGACATCAGGGAGACGTGCTTTGTAAACTGGTGCAGCAAGGGAGTCTGCTCTGTGATTCCCCTCTGCAATCTCACCTGGCAAATCAGTGTGTGACCTCACATGCATCACAAAGAATGGATGCTCTCGATGAGAGATTAAATAAATCAGCCTTGAGAGCAATCTGAGGGATGTTCATTCACTATTTCTTTGAGCACAGCCTGCTCCACCCTGGACACTACTCCCACCACATAGGCAGAGTCTGTTACCAAGTTGATTGGCTCCGAGAACCTCTCAAAGCTCTTACCATTGCAGCCAGTTCAGCCACCTGGGGGGATCCCTCCACAAACTCAACATCAGCTTCCCAGTGCCGGGTCTGTGGATTTCTCCAAGTCATCACTAACTTGTGGGAAGCCCCAGATGCATCCATGAACACTGTGAGAGCCTTGAGTGCCCTCCGGCTCCTTTTCTCTGGAGGAATAAGGTGGAATTCCTCGTTAAACATCTTGTGAGATGGCACGTGGACTGATAATTGTCCCCTGTAGCTGTCCATAGATAATTGGAGACTGGTGCTGCTCTGGAGCAAATGTTCAAACATCCCTTTGGTCAGTCTCTCAGGAGAGTTCCTTCCCTCCTCAGAAAGCCTGACTGGGAGATGAATACATGCAAAGTCACAACCTGCCAATTCGCATAATCTCACCCTGGCCTTCCGAATCAGTTTTGCTATCAGCTCTTGTGGCTCAGTGATGGTCTTGGATCTTTGATGGGAGAGAAAAACCCACTCTATGATCAAGAGTGGATCCTTCTGCCCCTCAATCCATTGGAAAATCAACCCATGTAAATGTGGCAGTTCTCCTAGAACAATGAATTGGAAAGGCACGTTTAGTTCACACCGATGTGCCTACCTCTCTGACAAGGCCTTCTGTACCTTTTCGATTGCTGTCTTTGCCTCTGGGGTCAGTTTCCTGGGGGAGGCCAGCTCCCTCTCCCCCTTCAATAAATTGAAGAGAGGGTCTAGATCCTCATTTGTGGGGCCTAGCCAGGATCTTACCCAATTCAAAGACCCACACAAAGAGTGGAGGTCCGCTAGTGTTTTGGGATTGCAATTGATCTCCAATTGCTGCAGGACAATGGTCCTTGCAGCGATTTCCAGACCTAGGTATTTCCAAGGTGGCATCCTTTGAACTTTGTCGTTCTGCTATTGAAATTCAGCAGAGGTTAAAACCTTAACC